TCTGTACTCGCAAAACATTTTTCTTAGCTTTTAGCTTGTGCTCAAATCATCTTCCATTCCCTCTTTCTGTTCCTCCACGCAAACCTGTTCTCCACGGGCTACTGTGGCCCCTGATCTCAGTGTGTAAGAGGATACGTTCAGCCAGCCGGCTGCAGGGAGCCAGTCGAGCAACTGGCCGCTGCCTTGACTCGCTGTCTGCGAGGCTGTCAGACAGAGGGGAGAAAAGAAGGGAGGCATCGAATATGAAAATATCATCAGAGGACTGGGAATCAGCTTCAGCTCATGCCAATGTAATTACTGCTCATTCTCAAGAAAACACACACACACACACTAACACTTCTGGCATCTGTCTGGGGAGAGATCAACTGCAGATCAGCCACAGAGCTTGGCTCTCCCCCCTCTCTGAATGTCCTCGCTCTGCAGCTCTGCAGAGGTGAAACAGCCATCGGTTTGTTGGTTTTGGAAGCTGTCTGATGACCCCTGGATACTTTGTTCGACCAAATGGTTATGGAGGAAAACACAGTGAAACTAAACTAGGCTGTGCGTGATGGCAATAGGTCCACAATGTAAATATTCCCCTTCTCGCGCTTTCTGTCCCCATGTGAAGTAAAAGAGTTCCACGTGTTCCTAATCAAAACATCTGCATTGATTTTACCAATGACAGCCTTGATTAGCAAGACAACAATCAGTTCACCATTTTTTTTCCTTCTCAGTTTACCATGAGAATGACTGTTTTGCTAAAAAGTTCTGTCTGGGTGGCACAAATCCCGCCGTCAAATCCCACCACTTTTTTAAGATCACTTTGTGAAAGTTCCTCTTACACGTGTGCACACTAATAAACAAGCACACGACTGAAATGCAGTACTAGCACATCAGCTGCATGTGGTAAGATCAAAATTACTGCATTTGTTCTTCAACAATGGGTTAAATGCTTCACAAGTAGAGATCGACGCAGCTCAAGAAATGTTTACAACATTCTCCAGTGGCATGAATATTTTTAAAAATTCTGCCATGACTTACCTAATATCAAATCAGTTTTATTATAATTTTTTGATTCTATAATTGTCTTACTATCGATATGTCCAAATGGAAGAACTATACAAAGATAAAACTAAACTTTTTTTTTATTACTGCTACAGAGAAGGAATAAGTGCATTCATTGGAAACAAAGTTGAAATGTAACATTCTTTTCTTATTTTACAACTCTGAGACTAAATTCTAGAGTAATGAATCTTTGCAGCTGTGTTTTTGGAATCACAAGATGAACACTCCACAGGAAACGGACAAGACAAAATAGTGTCTGTTTCACTGCAGGAAAGAAAAACAAAAACCKGCCTTTCAGCTTGCGCAATCCATCCTTTTTACATGAAGTTGAGGAAAGTACTACTGGACACTTCACAAGAAGGAGAAAAAAAACACACAATTAAAACCATGATGGATTGCTTCCTCATCTTCTTCACCAGTCATCACTCATGTATTTGTTGGTTTGCCTCTGTTGGCAAAATATCTCATGAGTCAGTGGACAGATTTTAAAGAAACTCTCAGAACTTGATGCAACAATCAATTGTATCTATATAGCACATTTAAAGACAACATTGTTGACCAAAGTGCTTCACAAGAAGGGAAAAAACATACAATACAATTAAAACCATGAATAAAATAAAAAATCTAATAAAAGGATAAAAGACAATTCCAAAATTCTGATGTAATTCATACTGAACTTGAAATAAAAGCCAGTTTTGAAGCAAAAACTAAACAGACCCTGCAGTCTGAATCTTAAGAGGCAAGTTTTTCCAGAGTCTGTGGGCCTCTACAAGCAAAAATCCTGATCCCCTATCTATTACTAATTAACATTTAGAGTCATCCTCATTCAAAATGGCTGCCACAGCTACCTTTGCAAACACATGAATGGCTAGTCATTTTTTGAGGTACTGAGCTAAAATTTGACAGGTATTTGCTGAGAAGCATCCCCATCATGTGAGGCCTTTGTTGAAAACTATGGCACACCAAGTGGTGAACAATTCGCATTCCAATAATAATAATAAAAAATAATATAATAATAATAATAATAATAATAATAATAATAATAATAATAATAATAATAATAAAATAATAATAATAATGTTTTTTAATCAGTTTTAAAGGGTCACTTTTAGATCATTCCGAAGAGGGTTAAAACGTGAGTGTCTCTGAATGTATCAGAAAACTTTTCTATGAATTCAGCCTTCTTTTCTGAAGGATCCGGAAAAGCTTGTCATGCGAACCCAGTGAAGTGCAGTCATGGTTAACCATATGCTGCTCAGCGTGGCAGCAATTACCAGAGGACAAGACGGCAGTTAATCATAAACGCCTTCTGTTCACTGTAGCTTGTGTCTGTCTGTATCACTGCTGTCAAACCACTTCATAGAGCAGCTGCACTTTGGACCGCTCTGAGTGTTTATACAACCTGTATTTCAGACTCCAACTACAAACTGTTACCTTGTGAAATACTGTGAAAATAAAAGCTTGTTAAAGCAATGTATTTGGGACTCTAGAGCCAAACTATCTCTTCCCCTCCTCCTGGCCCTAACTTCTTTATCAGCTCGACTGTTCTAACTGAGATGTAGTCGGTGAAMAGGTCCAAGCTGCACTTCATGACAAAGAGGAGTGTTTGCCCCGAGTTCCACTACTCAAATCTACCAGGGTCCAGAGCTTAGTTTAGTTTGCCAGTCCCACCTACCACTGTTTACTCTGCTTTATGGCTTCTCTGTTTGCTTTCCCCTTCTTCACTTGAGCAACCACCTCTGAGTCCTGACAGAGCGCTGCCACATTAAGGGTCACCGATCCAGGGCTTGGCCCACCCACAAAATGCAGTGCGTAAGCCAATAGAGATAAGAGTGTGTGGATGTGCATAATGCGCACACACACACACACACACACACACACACACACACACACA